CTCTCTCCGAGACAGGATAACGAGGCACTAATTACGATAAGGCTAAGTTCTGAAATGCTGTTAGATGCCTGGGCATTTTTTTCTTTTCTTTTTCCTTCTTTTGGTTGAAATATTTTATTCATTTGGAAAGTGAAGTGGTAACATATGTAACTATAAACCAGATGGTAAAATTTGATACTTGAGCAATTTATTAAGGAGTTAAATTGCTTGCATTTTAAACAGTATAACACAACTGAATTTCTCTCCATCTTGAATCAAACATTTTGTTCTAAAATTCATTTTCAAGTGAAATTTGAAAACTCAAGTAAAAACTTCCAAATAGCCTCATACATTTTTAACATCACGTATTTGAGATCATGTCAAGCCTACAGAGTAGCAAAGCCATGCCTCGCAAGTCTTAAGTTGTTAGTGTTTAGTGGAACTAAATGGTCACTAGGATACTGCTTAAATACAATAGATTGTACACATTGAATTCATTTCACATTCAGATTTCAAAATAATTCTTTCACGTTTAAGAAAAGCTGAGCATCATTTTTAAAGAGAGGACCAGAAGAGCAGAATTAGTAGGTTAATCACAGACTTACTTGGTTTCACACAAAAGGAGTTTTGCATATGGTCATTTCCAAAACACCAGGAAAATCCAGGATTTACTAAATGGAGATCTGGATATTTTGGGCCAGCTTTATCCAGTACCATCTAAAAGAATTTTGCTTTTCAACCTGAATTTTTGAAAGAAGACCAGTTTTAGGTCTGGGTGTTAAAAAAAGAAAAAAAGGAAAAGGTCTCCTAGCCTCACGCTCTCCACATTTGAAAGTTACATACGTGGTTGTGAGAGGAACCATTTCATTTGTCGTTCTTTAGGTTAGTGTTTAGTTTCAGCTCCATGTAAACGGTCTCCAGTAAAAAATAATTTTAAAAATTAAATTTGCGCGACAAGAAAAACAAGGACATTTTCTCATGCTTAATGCTAACATCTTCATGAGATGCGTCCTTGACATGGGTGTTTTTCCTCAATTGTATTCACCCACAAAATGCTAAGTAGCTTTGTCTACTGACTAGGAAGAAGAAAAATCCACCTGAATACTTGTATTATTTTGCAGTAAAAGTACCTTTGAAAATCAGCAATCCAAATTTGAGTAAGAATTTTTAAGAAAAAATGTGTGTTAGTGCCATTTAATCTGCTTGACTAAAGGTACAGAAAAATTGTATCTACATGTCTCCTTAGGATTGAAATGAAAACCCCAGCTGCAGGAATCATGGCTCTGTATTGCTGCATCATCAGCATGTTCTTACGCTCAATATTGCGTCTGTGTATGCAATCCACTAGAGCCAGGCCTGGCATGAAAACCCAGCAACCGAGTCAGTGTGTGTTCAAGACTCCCCAAACTACGTAGGAGCTATAAAAAAAACAAAAAACCCCTTCAAGGATTAACATCATTCATATAAAACGCCCGTCTGTTTACTTTAACAGGATTTGGGCTTCACGATTTCAAAGTATGCAAAACTCTTTTGTGTGTTTTGTTGTTAGACGTTTGCTTAGAAGAGGCGTCACCGTCCCCCCATCACAAACCATACACATTGCTCCACTGTCTCTTTTACACTGAGTCTCCTACTGAATCCAAATCATCCGAGGACAGGGGGCGGTACAGGTCCTGTAAGACGAAGGGCGGTACAGATTTGTTTACTTGGCTTTCTGGGGTGCCCTGCGGCTCTCGGGGGTGCAGCAGTGACCACACTTGGTGTCTAATGTCATTAGACCGTTTAGAGTGACCCAGTTTAAATAAGAGGAAAGATAATAATTGAGAAACCATCTAAACAGACAAAGTGGTGGCCAGTCAATGCCAACCCTGCTTCTCTGTGTCGGGGAGATTCTTCCTTGAATGTCTGCTTCCCACGTTGGGTGGGAGAGGACTGTGCTTACTCCACAGAATAATTCATCAGGAGCCCCAGCTGCCACCCAGCAAATTCGGGTCCCAGAGCAGCAACTCACGTTGCCTTGGCGCCTTGCAGAGACCCCACACACTTCCCCTTTTCCAGTTCTATGTCGGAAGGACGGAAAGACGCACCCCTGACCCACCGCTCAGTCTTCCTCCCCACTCCCCGGTCACCTCGCGGTCTCCCCGCCCCCCCTGCTGTGAGCTCTCTCGGGTGGTAGCCAGGCAGCCAGCTCAGATGCGCAGTGTCTAGAATTCTGGCTCCTGTCCTGTTCTGCACACCCACCGCGCACCCCGTCTGAGCGATCAGATGATCTACAAGAGTCAGCAATGTGGGAGTATGATGGGGAGCTTTGTGCAACCTACACAACACATTTCTTTCTGATATATTAAAAAATGGACCCCACAAAGTTCACGGATGGAAAGAGCCTCCAAGATTTGCTTCTGCTGCCAGTCAACTGCTTCTAGACAGCAATTTAAATCACTGTTTTGGAAAAGCGGGGAGGCTGCTTGGTACATTGCCACCAATACTATATATAACTATTCTAAAATACCAAGAGAGACACCATCAAAATATAATCTGAAGGGAAGGAAAAAAAAAATTTGATCAGAGTATCATAATTAATATAAATGAAAATAGAGATTTTCTTATTTGTGAAGAAAGTGGTCCAATGTCTCGATGTTTCTTTAAAAAACATCTGTATTTCTACGTTTTAAAACCAGGTAGGCAGTGTGAGTGTGTGCCTGTGTCTGTGTGTGTGCTGGGGGCTGGGGGCGCGTGGGGGAGCCAAGTTTTCTTAGCCATGTTGCTAGGCAACACAGGGAAAAATAGAAGTAGCTACTGTTTCCCAGTTTGCAATAAAAAGAGTTAATTTATTCACTGAAATGTCTTCTTTTAGCACTTGCCTCTCTCGCTTATTTCAGTCTTTCCTGCATAGGAGCGCGGCCAGGCATTTGAGCAGAACATAAACCAAATCTGAAACAGGATCAGTTTGGGGGGATATCAGAGGCCTGTTTTAACTGGGAGGGGTTATGCGATGCAGTTGACTCCACACCCAGATGAAAGCGTCCGTTGCCAGAGCAGCTGGGAATGTGCCCGGCCACTGACACTGAACACGAATGGAAGATGTTCATTTGTGGCCTGAACTCGGGAGCCTGGGAGCTGAGCCATTCCTGAATGATCCAGTTCTCTGCTCACAACATGTGCGTAATAAATGTTCTCAGATGAGGATAAATGCTTTCTCTCTCTAAACCAAGTGGGGTTGTTTTCCCCTCTTAGGGATGGTGCTCGCGTTTTTAGTGTAAAGGACAAAATGAAGAATGCACGAGATCATCGCCCCTTCTCATCAGTGCCCAGGTGCTGACGATGTTAATTCTGTGCATTCTGGCCTCACAGCTGCTAGTTCCTGCGTGGACATTTTCTGCCTCAGTTGGACAAAGTAATAGTGAAGGAGAGAACACAGAGAACAGAAGTGAATGCCTGCCTTAGGGTGGCTGCGCCGAGAGCTTTATGACCCCGGTAAGCAAGCAGGGAGCGAATCCTGGGTCCGCGGCAGGGGTCATCCTAATTTAATCTCAATGACTAAGCATGAACTGAATCTGAATCTGAGGTGAGTGAGTTCAAAGGACAACGAGGAATTCCTATGCCCGGTGTACTCTCTACAGCACACACTTCGAAAGAGAACACGTTCTACCCAAGAGGGCCCTTCCTGCACTGCTACAGCTAATGTGTGTTCCTACGATGGAGACCTCGCCGGGTAACAGTTCCCGGAAAAGAATCACCTGCTCCTCCCTCCTCCACTCCAGTGCAGACCGCAGGGAGATTAAATCAATGTGGCCAGTTCCTTCTGCTGGTCACTGATGCCTCCTGTACTTTAAAATGCCACACTGGACGGTGGCCAGGAAGGACGCCATGCTGCGAACACTGGATGGAACTGCAATGGCACTGGGCTCTCTATCTGGGAAGAGTCTCTCTTTTTTGTCTTTTGTTTTTCCAACCGAGGCCCAGAGAGGACAACAGACTTGTCCAAGACACCAGCCCCTCGGAGAAGGAGCTGGGGCCAAGCCCAGGCCTCGTCAAGTCGTCTGAAGCAGCCGACCCTGATGCAGGCGCACCCGTGGAGGGACACCACCACCTGACGTTTGTGAGACCCACCCCAAGGACGGAGCTGCCTGAGTCCACGGCCCCCCTTTAGAAGGTGCTGGGTGGACACAGCCTTGGTCCGAGCCTTGAACGGAGCGCTCCCACCTTGGTTACGTTTAAATATATGGAACTTAGAAGTCTCATTTTAAAACACTCAGTAAAAGAAGCCAAATTCAAGAGTCTCGTCTGTGATGTCCAAAGACTCCCATGAGCCCTTGCTTATTAAAATATTCAGTGCTTACCACCATGACACCCCAGAGTGCCTGCATCCCTCCCCTCGCTGGTGAAGTCAAAGCGGTGAAGACCTTCCTCCTCCTCCTCCTGCCCTCCCTCCGGCCCCCACCCCTTCACCTCGCCCTGGTTCTCCTGGGAGAGACTCAGGACGGGTGTAAAGGGGCAGAAACAGTAGCCGTGCACCCCTCCCTTAGCAGTAACCCTGTTTTCAGTAACGTTTTGACTTTGGTCTCCAAGCTCAGTCAACTCCATCATTACACATGGAGCTAAAACTTAAACTCAAGTAGTGATGGAAAACAGGTACTCTGTGTGATTTCCATTCACAGACACATGCAGAGGCCCCCCCCTGCACCACGGACCCGAGGCCGCTCTGCAGCACCGCTCTGTGACCCGGGCCACCGTCCAACAACGACACTTCTGCCTCCGGAAGGCGGTGGCCGACGGTGCGTCTGCTGACGCCTGTCAAACGCCAGCAGCTTACAGACCAGTGCCGGCGGAGGGCCCGTGACCCGGGACAGAAACACGGTGTTAAGGAGACTGTTCTGCTCGGAGTTAAGGTCTAGACAGGTTCCCCGAGAAAGCCAGAGGCCTGGGTTCCAGCTAAGGACTGCCGGGGTCCCCCGCCCCTGGGTGAGCCGGCTCCCTGGGCCCGGCCCGCCGGGTGCGTGCAGGCGGCGCTGCTCCCTTACCCTCTGCTTCCGCAGGCTTCCCGGGCTGGTGGGCGACGGGCTGGGCGACTTGCCGGAGCGCGGAGTGGACAGCTGGCTACCGGGGGTTCCATTCACTAGAAGCACAAAGAATTACAGACGGGAAAAGGGCATGTTTAAAGGAGTTTCATGACCAATCGACTTCCCTGAGAAGTAAATCTTCACAGAGGAACATTTGCTAACATCCCAGACACCCCTGAATCTGCGGTCCCGAGGAAAAGCTTCCGGGAATAACCTCCCGAAATGTGCTCTTTCGTTAATCCAGTGTTTATACAGCAGACAATACTCTACATGCACTTTCCCGATGAGCTTATTAATGATATTCTTCACGGTGCCGACAGAGATCCGGGAACGTGGTAGGGCCCTGGGGCATTCTCCACGGACTCCTCCGTAACCCTTTCGCTTCCCGGTACAGCCCGCAGGAGAACATACGAGCACAGCTCCCAAGTGGTATTCTCAGGGACTTGTTCACCGAAATCGCTGCCTTGTGACACTTCCCTCTCTTTCAGAAGTTCCACCCACCTCCGCCCTGCTCGGCGCCCTCACTGAGCCTGGAGGACCTGCCTTAGCTGGACAGTGACTGGCAGACACGAGGGACTCCTGGCCGCTGGTCCCCAGCACTGCTAGAATTGAAGCTGCTCCCTAGCAGCTTTGAATCACTGGAATCTTACCCGATTCTCGAAACTTTCACACAACATCACCACTGCACTGAGTCAAAGCCACAGAACTCAAGTAAGCAATTCTCGGAGGAGCACCGCAAGACTCCAGAACACACTTCTCTATACAGAGACACAGGGTCACTGTTCCTTTACCCATAAAGGGGACCACCTCTCCACGGTCCCATCCACAGGCAATGAGGGGAACCAGCGACGAGGGCGCGTGACACACCTTCCTGAGGGCACGACTTACCTTCTCTGAGCTCCAGCATGGACACGGCCTCGCCGGACCTGACAGTGGCTAGAGGGGAGCGTCCCGGCGGGGAGCCAGCACCGCGCGGGGAGCTGGACCAGCTACGCTGAGGCTGCTGCTGGGAGCCTGAATGAGACGCAGGGCTCGGCGGCAGACGCCTTTTCTGCACACGGCTGGCGTCTCCAGGCAGCCGTGGGAGGTGTGGTTCTGTCTCAGGCTACATCAAAGGTGTCAATTAAGCTCATGCCAAGCGGGAGCCACTGCGAAGCCCTCCCCACACCACGGACTCCCTGGAGCCGGAAGCCAGAGCCCTTCCTCAGTGCTCCCCTGAATCATCGCCAGCGCCTCTGTGGGGCCGAGCCCTGTGACTCATCCGAACATCGGAAGGACAGGAACCCTTCCAAGCCTGCTGGCTGCTGGGTGCTCAGACACCCTCACAGCATTCACTGGTAAGGTACGATGCTTATTAACGTTTCACACACAGTATTTGCACAAGATCTTGGGGCCCACGGACGGGGGGAGGGGGCTGTTCGTTTTGTCATCTCCAAAGCCCTGTAAAATGTCATAGAACCCACACGACACTCCTTTGTAGTTTTGCCTCTGAAGTGCATTTGGTGATTCAAAAAACACACAACGGTTTGGGGCAGCCGGAAGCAGAGCGCACTGAGCACGCCTGGGTGAGCTTCGTCCCCGCTCTGCGGTCACCGTGCCCGGTGCTGGCCTGTCCCTGGCTCCCAGCGTGGCCCCGGGGAAGGGCTGGCCAACAGGCAAGGACTGGAAAGCTGTGGGCGGAGGCCCGACCTCCAGCTAACACACCGAGGGGCGAGAGAGCCCAGGAGGAGACCGAACAGGTTTGGGGGTGTCATCCCCCTTTGCCCAGCTGGCCACACCAGAAGGCCAACGGGCCTGGGGCGGGGCTGAGCGAACGGGGAAACACACACAGTCAACGCACTGACACTGTGTATACCACACACACGTGTGCAAACACACATGCACACAGACACACACACATGCTCTCCTTCCACACTCACAACAACCGTGAGGCCGGCAGGGTCCTCGCCGATGAAGAAGCTGAGGGATCGAGTGATAAGCAGCCTGACCCCCCCGGGGCAGAGGTGAGCCCAGGCGTCCGAAGGGTCCTCCACCACGACGCTCCCTCCGGCCAGCCCCGCCGCAGGGAGGCCGGGCAGATGCCTGTCCCCGAGTCGAGAATTCTGGCCACAAGTCCTGGCTGTGCTGCTGGAACCCAGTCCATGGGGTCGCCCTGGCTCACACCCGCGGGAAAGGAGTGGATGACGAGCCAGCCGAGGGCTCTGGGGTTTGTCAGGTGAGGGCCGCCAGGCACCATCCAGGAAAGCGGCGTGGCGAGGGCCACCTGTCCCTGGGCCACCTGTCCCTGGGCTACCTGTCCCTGGGCCACCTGTCCCTGGGCCACCTGTCCCTGGGCTGTCCGCGAGGGCGGAGCAGGTGTGGGCACTGAAGAGAGAATCAGCTCAGCGACGGTGAGGCAGAGGGAAGGGCCTTAGGAGAGAGGGCGGAGGAGGGGGCAGGGCCGGGGTCTGTCCACGGAGTGAGGGCGGAGGAGGGGCAGGGCCGGGGTCTGTCCACGGAGTGAGGGCGGAGGAGGGGCTAGGGGACCGGGGTCTGTCCACGGAGAGAGGGCGGAGGAGGGGGCGGGGCCGGGGTCGGTCCACGGAGAGAGGGCGGAGGAGGGGGCGGGGCCGGGGTCTGTCCACGGAGAGAGGGCGGAGGAGGGGGCGGGGCCGGGGGACTGTCCAACGGAGAGAGGGGCGGAGGAGGGGGCGGGCCGGGGTCTGTTCCACGGTAGAGAGGGCGGAGGAGGGGGCGGGGGCCGGGGTCTGTCCACGGAGAGAGGGCGGAGGAGGGGGCGGGGCCGGGGTCTGTCCACGGAGAGAGGGCGGAGGAGGGGCCGGGGCCGGGGTCTGTCCACGGAGAGAGGGCGGAGGAGGGGCCGGGGCCGGGGTCTGTCCACGGAGAGAGGGCGGAGGAGGGGCAGGGCCGGGGTCTGTCCACGGAGAGAGGGCGGAGGAGGGGCGGGGGCCGGGGTCTGTCCACGGAGAGAGGGCGGAGGAGGGGCCGGGGCCGGGTCTGTCCACGGAGGAGAGGGCGGAGGAGGGGGCGGGGCCGGGGTCTGTCCACGGAGAGAGGGCGGAGGAGGGGCCGGGGCCGGGGTCTGTCCACGGAGAGAGGGCGGAGGAGGGGCCGGGGCCGGGGTCTGTCCACGGAGTGAGGGCGGAGGAGGGGCCGGGGCCGGGGTCTGTCCACGGAGTGAGGGCGGAGGAGGGCCTGGGCCGGGGTCTGTCACAGAGTGCGGAGTGAGGGCGGAGGAGGGGCCGGGGCCGGGGTCTGTCCACGGAGTGAGGGTGAGGATGGGGCGTGGCCGGGGTCTGTCCACGGAGTGAGGGCGGAGGAGGGGCCGGGGCCGGGGTCTGTCCACGGAGTGAGGGCGGAGGAGGGGCAGGGGCCGGGATCTGTCCACGGAGTGAGGGCGGAGGAGGGGGCAGGGCCGGGGTCTGTCCACGGAGTGAGGGCGGAGGAGGGGGCGGGGCCGGGGTCTGTCCACGGAGTGAGGGCGGAGGAGGGGCCGGGGCGGGTCTGTCCACTGAGTGAGGGCGGAGGAGGGGCCGGGGCCGGGGTCTGTCCACGGAGTGAGGGCGGAGGAGGGTGGCAGGCCGGGGTCTGTCCACGGAGTGAGGGCGGAGGAGGGGGGCGGGGCCGGGGTCTGTCCACGGAGTGAGGGCGGAGGAGGGCAGGGCCGGGGTCTGTCACTGAGTGAGGGCGCGGAGGGGGCAGGCCTGTCTGTCACGGAGTGAGGGCGGAGGAGGGGCAGGGCCGTGGTCTGTACCACGGAGTGAGGGCGAGGAGGGCAGGGCCGGGGTCTGTCCACGGAGTGAGGGCGGAGGAGGGGCAGGGCCGGGGTCTGTCCACGGAGTGAGGGCGGAGGAGGGGGCAGGGGCCGGGGTCTGTCCACGGAGAGAGGGCGGAGGAGGGGGCAGGGCCGGGGTCTGTCCACAGAGTGAGGGCGGAGGAGGGGGCAGGGCCGGGGTCTGTCCACGGAGTGAGGGCGGAGGAGGGGCCGGGGCCGGGGTCTGTCCACGGGGTGAGGGCGGAGGAGGGGGGCAGCGCCGGGGTCTGTCCACGGAGAGAGGGCGGAGGAGGGGCCGGGGCCGGGGTCTGTCCACGGGGTGAGGGCGGAGGAGGGGGGCAGGGCCGGGGTCTGTCCACGGAGTGAGGGCGGAGGAGGGGGGCAGGGCCGGGGTCTGTCCACGGAGTGAGGGCGGAGGAGGGGCGGGGCCGGGGTCTGTCCACGGAGTGAGGGCGGAGGAGGGGGCGGGGCCGGGGTCTGTCCACCGAGAGAGGGCGGAGGAGGGGCAGGGCCGGGGTCTGTCCAGGGAGTGAGGGCGGAGGAGGGGGCAGGGCCGGGGTCTGTCCACGGAGTGAGGGCGGAGGAGGGGCCGGGGCCGGGGTCTGTCCACGGGGTGAGGGCGGAGGAGGGGGGCAGCGCCGGGGTCTGTCCACGGAGTGAGGGCGGAGGAGGGGGCGGGGCCGGGGTCTGTCCACGGAGTGAGGGCGGAGGAGGGGCAGGGCCGGGGTCTGTCCACGGAGTGAGGGCGGAGGAGGGGCAGGGCCGGGGTCTGTCCACGGGGCACTGGGACCTGCATCCTTGGCAGAGCCCCTGGGCTTAGGGCTTCCCCCTGTGAAAGTGAAGCCGCGCACCAGCCAGCTCCTGTCCCGTCGACCCACCATTACCAGGACCCAACCCGCCCGACAGTGGGGCCGGCCTGGGTCTGCAGGGTCCGAGCTCAGTTCATCCGCTTCCCGTGGGCCCCTGGGAACATCAGCACCCTGGCGGGGGCTCGGGGGGCGTCGCCCCTGCACCGACAGCCTGCTGGTTCGATTCCGGTCAGGGCACATGTCTGGGTTGCAGGCTGGGTCCCCGGCAGGAGGCCGTGTAGCCATGTATCTCTCACGTCGATGTTTCTCTCTCCCTCTCTCTCTAAAAAAGCATTTTAAAAACCTACCGTAGCCCTTGTTGTAAGTGGTTAGAGCATGGGCCCCGCACACGAAAGAGTCACGGGTTCGAGTCCCAGTCAAGCGTGTACCTGGATGGCAGGTTGAATCCCCAGCCCCTGGTCAGGGTCATGTG